GATTTTCTAGCGTGCTCCTTAGACAAAAGACGTGCAACCGTACAGTAGAAACGGTCGCACGTCTTTGTTCACACTGCACGATTCTCGTACGATCGCGGGATTTCACGTGATTCTCGTACGAGAATCGAGCAGTGTATGGGCACCTTAAGACTCCATTCAAAAACATTTATCAGAGCAGATCTCGCCATCATTGTGTTAATTCAATTAATTTCCTTTGATAGCCCCTAAAATTTCCTCCAGACCAGCTACTCGAATGGAACCCCAGACATATTAAACAGGTTTCTTTTCAGCGCCCTCACTTCTGTTCTCTGTAACTTAGGGGGTTATTCACAAAGCTGCTGAAGGCAGCCGAGTGAGTAACCCAGCCGAAGTGAAGTGAGCCGAACGCTGTTCAGCTATTCACTTCAGGCTTGTACAGCTCAAATCAGCCGTACATCAGCTGCCTTCGGCTGCATGCTTAGCTGGCCCAAAGTGCAGAAGGACTTCGACTCAACCGATCCAACAGTTGAAAAATATTTTTAAAAATGTAAATAAATATTACATTTAAAGAAATAAAGGTTTTAAAAAAAAAGAAAAAAAATCAATTGGGCGGAGCTAGCAGTGAAAGCTAGCTCCGCCCAACTGTTTCCTATTGGCCGACACCTGCTAGAGTCTTCTAGCAGGTCCTGGCCAATGAAAAACAACTGGACATCACGGCCGGCTCCACCCAGTTGTTATTGTTTAATGACAGTTCAGCATCCCCAGGTCATTTGGGGACGCTAATCTGTCATTATAACTGAGCGGAGCCAGCCATGAGATCACGGCTGGCTCCACCCAGCTGTAATTTGCGGTGCGAAAGGCCTACCTTTGGCAGGCCGTTCGCCACGATTCGACTGACACTTTGGCTCAGTCGAGCCGAAGCAAATGCCTTCGGCTGCTGTACGGGCTATTATTAATAGCCCGTACAGCAGCCCTTCGGTTCGACTGGAACATAGGGCTCCAGCGGCCGAAGAGAGCCGAAGGATCAGCCGAAGCTACAGCGGTATCCTTTGGCTCCTTTCTGAATAGCCCTCTTAGTGGGGAGCTGCTCTGAAGTCCGCCAAAAAAAAAAAAATGGGAACAATGTAATAGATAACTTCCTGTGCTCTAAGAATGTGCTGCACTGTTATCAGCTCAGTGGATTTCTGGCGGGATCAACTGACATTTTGTTGCACTTATCAAACAGATATAACAAAATGCTTTCAATGGAATATTAAACAGACCAAAAGGGAGCAAATAAGTGAAGTTCATTGTTATTGTTCTTATGCACTATTCATTCTTAGTGGCATCCCAATGCACTTTGCTAACAGGCATGCTTTGCAGCTCACCACAACATACGGCAACACATTACTGTGCCTCGTAAGCTACAACAATTAGTACATGGCCCCTTTTTTGGTGCCTTGTGCTGCATCAGCAGCCCATTCATTGCCTTAAAGAAGCGCACACTAGCTTGCAGCATAATGTGCTTTAACACATGTGTTCTAATGCAGCACAATGGTACAATAGGCTCTAGAGCTGAAATGGAATTAGTGCAGTTATGTATTTATTCAGCACTGTACAGTCTTTTCAGGATAATCCGCTTCCTATGTATCAAAAAATGTTTTAATGCTTAAATATCTTTAAATCTAGTTATAATTTGGTATTATAAAGTAATATTGAAAGGGGGGGCATATTTTCATACTATATCCACAACCTCTGTTTCCTACTTTGCAGTGCTAAACAGTGGTTGTATTTTACTGCTCCTTCTCACCTTGCGCATCAATGAGTTGGCAGACACATTGAAAACAATACACTCCCTGTGTGGCTGATATCTTATGTCAAGAGTTGCTAAGCTTGGAGGCAGAGTGATTGCAGATTGTTTGCACTCTCTAAAATACAACTTTGACTGCAATAGTCCCCTTTCCGGTGCTGTCTTCCCTAGACTCACCCACTCCGAAGTCCTCTCCCAGGTTGAAAGACGCCCACCATCATTCAACCCTCTTCCTGTTGGTGCAGGATGTTATAGGACTGCCCCCTGAGGGGATGTCACCATGCATGCACTGACACATAATGATTGGGAGAACACCGCTCTCTGCATCATATGTAAAGGCAAACCTCTTTTCTTTAGTTTTTTTGGATAGGGTGTGGGGAAGGGCTTGACCCTCTGTCAAGTTTTTACCACTTCCCGTGTCCCCGCTAGAGTTACTAACCCCCTGTTTGTTCTGGTAGCCATTGTCACTGAGACAGAAAGTGATGGGAATTCCTGCTGGTCCTGATGGCCATTGTCACTAAGACAGAAAGTGATGGAAATTCCAAAGGTAGGGAACTTTACCCCCCACTCGTCCTGATGGCCATTGTCACTGAGACAGAAAGTGATGGGAATTCCAAAGTTAGGGAGATTTACCCCCAGTTGTCCTGATGGCCATTGTCACTGAGACAGAAAGCCATTGGAAATCTAATGTTTTAGAGTTGATACTCATCAAGAGGTACGGGGGTACCTGTTAAAAGAGGGAATTTCCCATCATTTTGGAAAGATTTTCCTAACTTTCTATTCCAATATGTCTATTGGACAGGAAGTAAAGGGGAATATCCCTAATTGGACACAGCCAGCAATATAAAAACCCAAAACAGCAGAGGTTTTAAGAATTCCCTATTTCTTTGGGCTATACACTTTAAGGACCAACCAGCACTGGAGAAGAGACAAAGAGAAGCCAGCGTGTCACTTGACTGGCCTGAAAGCATTAAAAAAGTAAGTATAACAAAAAGCCCAAATTACAGCAGAGAGGTCCTATAAAGAGGTGGGGTGATTGGGGTTGGGGGGTGAGGAAGCCTGGTTTTGGTGGTTGAACAAACACAGGTGCCTGAAAGAACTACACACTACAGGGGACTGATCTGATTGTAAATGTGCCCAAGACACGAGAGGACAGTTGGATGCTATTGGGACAACTGACATCTTAAAGGATGCCAGTGGACAAACGCGTCTTCACCCCCTCTCAGGACATGTACAGAGATGTGCCCCGGTGTTGGCAGTTACCCTCAGGACAGCGATTAGGTGCTGAAAGTTACACTGTTCTGGAGATATTACCACTTTCCTAACCAAAAGTCAAGTCCCTTCAACCACAATAAGCGTCCCTGGCATGTCCAGAGGTGTCCATGGCAAGGACACTTATTGAAAAACCCAACCTTAGGATTCAAGTGGAGACTATCTCTGGACAGGAGTGCAACTTATGTGTCACATGATAGTGAATGGGTTAACACAGAGAAAAAAACATCTAACTCTTCCAGAACCCCTTATGGGCCCATCTTCCCCACTATATCAAGCTGGTGAATAGCGACAGAAGAGGGAAAGTTCCCATTGCCTTACTGCAAAGGAAAAGAACATTTTCTTGGAAACTAAAATATACATTTTTCAGAGTTGCTTGGCAGTTATTGACCTGAGGGACCATCTATGAATTGTACTTTTAGGTTCCCCATAGACCTTTAATATGTCCAACCACATCACACATTCAGTTTTTATCTTATGCAGAGACTACCAATTGCTGGAAAGACTGGAGCACTTTTTGGTGCCAGAGCTGTAAGACTGGGAAATGATGGGTATAGTAGTGTTATGGCTGGTTTTATACCTTAATACGCTTGATGGCACAGATTAGAACTTTGCAGTGTGGAGGAACAAGGGAAAGCATAATCTAAGATCCATCAAATATTGATTAAAGAAGCAAAAGATTCAATAACTGATCGTTCTTTTAGAGGAGCATCAGTATATCTGCGGTAGCTACACCCAATACACATTTACCCAACTTCAGATGTTCTCTTTCCAACCACATCTTTTCCAAATGATCATAATTATTTAGCACCCTGAAAAATAATTGTATAGCCGTTCACTTTTAAAAAAAATTCTGGACTAGTTTGTAAGTCTCTCATTAGCACCTGATTCAGAAGCCCAAAAGCGACATCTCTTGTTTGATCAGAATTTTTGATTGCCCAAAAGCTAACCACCAGACAGTACTGTCCGGATTGGTGGCCACGTTCTCCCACCGTCCAAAAAGACACATGTGACCGTGCTTTACGATGCTGAAAAGCTTCTACTAGGCAGTGCAAATTCACACAAGCATTTTGCAATGGCCATTTAATTATTTTATGGCAGCAAAATAGACATTACAAAAATATTTTTGAAGGCGGGAGGGGGGAGTTGTCACTTAGTTAGCTAGAATAAGTATACTTAGTAATTTTTGTAAACTTGTCAAAATTGAATAAACACAACCTTTCTAAATAAATACATAAATAATAATGTAATTTAAAATAATAATAATATAAAATAAACTTTAAGTTTGATTTACACTTTTTTTTTACATTTTAATGTTTTTTAGTTGATTGTCTGTTGCAGTTTTTTTTTGCTAAAAAGATCACATTATTTTTCATAGACAAGCAATACAGCGAGTACATTGATTTGTCTATCTATCTATCCATCTATCTATCTATCTATCTATCTATCTATCTATCTATCTATCTATCTATCTATCTATCTATCTATCTATCTATCTATCTATCTATATATCTATCTATTTTTTCTGCATGTCAAGAGAGTAACATTTTTGCTTGCCTCCTTATTGCTAACTCTAAATCCATGGCTTTCCTTTGGAATAACTTTCAAACATGCTGAAAGCAACATGACACTTCTTGCATTCTAGAATTGGATTACATCTTCCCATATCACAGCGAAACAACAGAAATATTTACCCATGTAATGTGCTCTTCCTACACTACACGCCTTTCCTATAAATATGTGCAGCAGCAACCTATGCACCTAAAACACCAACAAATGTCAATCTGACAGATCAATACAAAGTAATAGAACATTGTTACTGGTAAGGACAGAGCATTGGACCATCCTCATGTATCACTTCATACAGAACATCTGCAGGTTTCAGTCTTAATGAGATGTAAAGCTCAGAATGTTTTCTATTTCCTGCATGATAGAAAAGAAATAGCGTCCCCCTTGTTACCTTATCTAAAGTAGAAGTTGGCTGGGTCCCTTGCTTCGCTATGAAATAATTTTTGACGTTTCTTGGAGTCACTCATCACTGTGGCTGCTGGTCCGAAGTGGGAAGCCGTGACTGGAAAGTTTGCAAACTGAACAGGAACTAAGACATTTTAAGGGAAATATCCTGATATCCTTATATGGGACTCTGCCTGCTTTAATTTATGTTAACTGCAGGATGTGAGCTAGGTCTTAGTGCTAGCAGTGTTATTAGAAGGATGGGGATGGGGGTGTTATGCAAATGAGCAATACCTTTCATTTTAAGCGGTTGCTTCCTCCCCCAACAAAAATTACAACAATGTACCATCACCTAAAATTGGTGGGAAAAAAATTCCAGCACAAGGGGCGCAGGGGGTTCTTCACAGTAAGATCAGTTAGGGTCTGGAACTCACTGCCACAGGCGGTGATTTCAGCAAAGAATGTGGAATTGTTCAAGAAACTTTTGGACGATTTCTTAAGGGACCGCAATATACAGGGGTACAGGTACTCCTAGAATGAGATCCTAATAGGTTGGACTTGATGGACTAATGTCTTTATTCAACCTCAAATATTATGTAACTATGTACCAACACAGTGGAATTTACCTGAGGCGCCCAGGAGAAGGGGGGAAGCAACGTCCGTCCAAATTGTTAGAAAGGCAGGAGGCGGCAGCCAGACGTGTTGTTAGCCGGACAGGGGGGGGGAGGGGCCAGCCGATTGTTAGTCGGGGGGGGGTATTAGT